CCCCTGCCGTAGCTGCTTCCCCAACAGTGGGGAGCCCTGAGCTGGGAGGTAAAAGGTAAAGATTAAATGGTATAATTATAATTACCATTTAGCTGCTTATATCCCTAATAGAAAGGATACAGTGCTACATAAGGGCTGCATCAGAGTCCAGTTCTTATATAGGAAGTCGGACGTGCAGACTATAGATAGGTGGTCAGTTGTTTTGTATTCGGGCATTTTTAAAACTTGCTGCTACCCAGTAGATTAAAATGGCTTCATAGGCTTCATAGTCCCACCCAAGGAATTTGGGACTGAGGCATGGCATAAAAGTCCTATTGACTGCTTTTTACTGATTTTTCCCTACCACACATTAGCATTTTCAGACCTGCATTTTGCATATGGGCTTACACTTCTGTTCTACCCAGGAGAGTGCACAAAATACCAGCAGGCTCTCCCTATGGCTGAAGAAGTGTGCTTGTGCCCAAAAGCTTGCAAAGAACAATTTTTCCAACTATTTAGTTGGTCTAATAAAAGATACCACATCTACCCAAAGAACCTTGTCTGCCTATGTCCTTAGGTCAGGGGTGGGCAATTATTTTGGGTAGAGGGCCACTTACTAAGTTTTGGCAAGCTGTCAAGGGCCACATGGGTAGCCACGCCCCTTGACAGGTGCCCTGCCCCCTGGTTATCATCTTGGGACTGGAAGTCCCACCTCCTAACCCCTGCCCTTTGCCACCAGAAGTCCCTCCCCTTGCCCCCAGAAGTACTCCTTTCAGCAAGGGGTTTTGCCATCCTGGAACCAAAAAAATACCAAATTATATTCTAAAAAGTGAACGTTTAAAACATTAATTTGATTTAAAAAATATTTTTGCCCTGATTTACATGCGTTTGCATAGTGCACAAAAAGGTGATTGCACAGTAGCTTAAAATGAAGTGGTATGCTTGTATACTGGGGGTACAGGTTTGTGGGGGGCTGTGGGTGTGGCTATGTGGTGTGAGGGAGCATGTGGCTATGTATGGAGATGTGGAGTGTGGGTGGGTATGGGGTTTGTGGGGGATTGTGTAGGGGGAGGATGGCTTGGGTGTGCAAAGGTGTGTGTGTGTGTGTGTGTGTGAGTCTGTGTGTATGGCAGGGTGGAGGGGGTCCATGTGTATGGTGGGTTTACGTGAGGGACTCGCCCTACGAAGACACACACGCACACGCTCTGCCTCTGCCTGCACTCATGCATACTGCCACTGCCTATACATACACTCTCTCTGTCCTAAAAGTAGTAATTGAAGCCCCTAGATTTTGTGATTTCCAGGATTAGAACTAAGATTTGGAAATGTGAGGAGGTAGCATTCTTCAGATGGATGCCTATGAATTACTTTGTCTGAACAGCATGGGGCTGGGAAAGGACGGGACCATTCTTTGATTGTCTTATTACTTACAATCTTTAGCCCAAAGAGAAGCTGTAGTGTAGAGGAAGGGAGTGTGAAGGCCAGGGAGAGTGCTGCTGACTAGTTTTACTTCTCAGCACCACCTGCAAAGGAGGAATGGTTGCAGAATTGAGTTCCATACTGTGCTTCCTTTTGCAGTGCAGGTCATGTTAGTACTGCTGTGAGCATGAATGCCTTGTGCCCCCAGACGCTGGGTGGGCATGGTGACCACCTACAGGTGGTGGCGGCAGAGACATGGTGGCATGGGGCAGGGAGTTCCTGCAGGCGGCCACAGTGGTGTCGGGGGGGGGGGCGGGGGGGGAGGGCTGACCAGCAATCAGTGACCACCCGCAGCTGCTGCCAGCAGCAGCAGCAGCCACAGCCAGTGGCAATCGGGGGACTGTCTGCAGACGCTGCTGCTAATGGGGGTGTGGCGGCGAACAGCAACTGCCCACAGGCACTGTTGGCAGCATTGGTGGTGCTTTTTGCGGGGGGTGCGCTGCCAATCGCAAGGGGTGCATAAGCATCGCCCATGGCTGTGAAAGCAGACTGGGTGGAGATTTTCTTCCCAGAACCAGCTTTTAATTACACCTCTCTTTGGTTCTACAAAGGTTGTGTCTAGATCAGTGGTTCTCAACCTTTTTAGACTAAAAGCACATCTTGTTAGACTCATGGGACCCCTTGGAAAATGCTAGCTCTTAGCTTTTACTTCCTTTTTGACTACAGAAAAATAATAGAGCAATTTTTCATAAATTTCATAAACGTTAGGGCTGGGAGGGGCCTTGGAAGATCCTTGAATCCTACCCCCTGCCCAAGGAGCAGAAAGTCACCTGGGGTCATAAGATCCCAGCAAGATAAGCATCCAAATTTCTCTTGAAGGCGTTCAGTGTGGCTGCTTGAACCATCTCCAATGGCAGGCTATTCGATACCTTGGGGGCTCAGACAGTAAAGAAATTCTTCCTTATGTCCATCCTGAAACGGTCTTACAGGAGTTTATAACCGTTCGACCTTGTTGTCCCTTGGGGTGCTCTTGTGAACAATCGTTCCCCCAGATCCTGGTGAATACCCCTGATTAAACTTATAGGTGGCCATCAGATTGCCCGTGTGCCTGCGGTTTTCTAGGCTAAAGAGCCCATAGCTCCCAGCCTGTAATAATAAGGTCTATTTTCCTGACCTCTGATCATGCGCATGGCTCTTCTCTGGGCTCTCTCAAGCTTCTCCACATCCTTTTTGAATTGTGGAGCCCAAAACTGGATGCAGTACTCCAGCTGTGGCCTCACCAAGGCTGAGTACAATGGGAGAATGATGTCCTGGGATTTAGTTGAGAAGCATCTATGGATGCAAGCCAGCATTTTGCTAGCTTTACTAGCCGCAGCATCACATTGAAAGCTCATGTTCATCTTGTGGTCAATCATGACCCCCAAGTCTTTTTCATCCATAGTGCTAGTCAGCGTAGCCTATAAGCATGCTGCAGGTTTTTCCTCCCAAGGTGGAGAACCTTGTATTTTTTGGTGTTAAACACCATCTGGTTCTTGTCCACCCATTTCCTCAGCCTGTCTAGGTCAGCCTGGATCGCCCTCCTGTCCTCAGGTGCGGATGCTTTACCCCAGAGTTTGGTATCATCAGTGAATGTGGCCAGTCTGCTTCTGACTCCAGTGTCCACATCATTAATGAAGATGTTGAACAACACAGATCAAAGGACAGAGCCTTGGGGGACCCCACTGGTCACAGCGCACCACAACGATTGCCTTCCATCAACCACCACCCTCTGGGTCTGACCAAAGAGCCAATTCCCCAGCCAGCGGATTGTGGTGGACCTGAGGCCGCAGTTGGCCAGTTTTGCCAAGAGGTGATCGTGGGATACCAAACTGAAGGTTTTTTTGAAGTCAAGATATATGACATCAATCTCCTCTCCCTTGTCCAGGTGATAGGCCACCTGGTCGTAGAAGGAAATGAGATTGGTCAAGCAAGATCTACCTGCAACAAACCCATGCTGAGTATCCCTCAGGATATTGCCATCAGCTAGTGTGTTAAGGGTGGCCTCTTTGATAATCTTTTCCAAGACCTTGCCCAGGATAGAGGTCAGGCTGATGGGCCTGTAGTTTGCCAGATCCACTTTCCTCCCTTTCTTGAAGATAGGCACCACATTGGCTTTCTTCCAGTCTTTGGGCACTTCAGCAGAGCGCCAGGAGCTCACGAAGATCTGTGTCAGGGGCTGAGCTATGATGCGAGCCAGCTCCCTGAGTAGCCTGGGGTGTAGATTGTCAGGGCTGGCTGACTTGAAGGTGTCCAGCCTCTCAAGGTGTTCCTTCACGAGGTCAGCATTGATGGAGGGCAGGGGATCTCCCTCACCTGGTCTCCGTGTCCCATAATGGGCATGGGTGTCCCGTGGGGCTGATGAAAGACCAACGCAAAGTTCCCATTTAATAAGTTGGCTTTTTCTTGTGCGTTGGTTGTCAGTTGTCCCATCTGGTTTAGCAGGGGTCCAGTGTTGCCCTTGCTTTTCCTTTGGCTCCCCACGTATTTGAGAGAGGACTTTTTATTGTCCTTGATACTTGTAGCTAGCTGGAGTTCCCATCGATTGTTAGGTCGCTGATTAGGTTGTCCCCAGTTGTCAGTACCAGGTTGAGCAGCGCTTTACCTCTCGTTGGCCTCTAGACTTCTTGAGTCAGATAGAGGTCATCCACGTACAAGAGGAAGCTTAGCGACCGCTTGGATTTAGCCAAGCGCTCTTCCCATGAGATATCTGGATAGTTGAAGTCTCCCATGACAACCATACACTGGGAGCGTGTGGCCTCAGCCAGTTCCCTGGCAAACTCCTGGTCAAGCTCTTGACTTTGGGTGAGAGGTCTGTAGTAGACTCCCACCATCATGTCCCCTGTGCCGAGTTCCCCATGGATTTTAACCCAGACAGTCTCCAGCTGTCCATCGTGGTCACCAGTATCAACTTGCAGGGACACGTAGTTCTCCTTGACAAAAACTAAGCGAGACTATAACAGGTTAGAATTTTTTTTTTACCCTGAATTCCCATTTGAAATCTCTGGGTTTATCTTTAGAATCACGTTTGCACATTACTCTGCTTTCTGATTACAGAATGCAGGGAATGTTCCAGAAAGTGCTGTAATTTTTTTTAGCATGTGCTTCTGTACTTTGGTTGGAAAGACTAAACTTGCCAATCCTATTTAGCATCTTGTGTTCTGAGAACAATAACTAGAAAGCAGTTTTACTCTCATGTCCTTGGTGAAGTTTGGAATAATTTCTGAGATGTTTCTCTAGCCTCCCTGGACATTCATTTCTCTGGGTTTATTACTCCAGTGTCAAGTGTAATTGCACATTCTACTGTTTTAAATAAGTCTTAATTCCATCAAATCAGCAGCTGCCTAATTTGTTAAGCATTTGGGTAAAAAATAACTCAAAAGAAAAAAGTGAATCTTATTCCCTCCCCTAGCTGGCCAGATGAGTAATTCAGTTATTTCACTAAAACACCAAGTTCTCTGTGTTTTTAAGTCAGTGGTTTTGTTAGATTGGGAGCAAATATTATGATGCAGTTTTTTTGGTAGGTAAATGCTAATTGCAGCATGTAAATAACATTTGGTGTATCTGCTTTTTTCAGTCTATATTGAAGAAGACTGTGACGGTGACAGAAACTCCTTCAGCGGTTTTCCATTACACTGAGCATGATCTGGCCATGCCAGATTCCTGTAGCAGCAAACAACTTGATGTCATCTTTGAAGCTGCTAAGAAAGACCTCTTAACCTTGATGAAACTAGATGTAAGTTAATAAAGGATAAATGACCTAGCTGTGCTTTTCATTCCGTTCTGCACAGACAATAAAATGTAAACTGCTTTTTAATGCACTGCAGACCCCTCAGCAAGGCAATATACTGGCTCAAGAGGTGAGTCCCTTTATTTCTGAGCCTTTTCAATTTGGAAGCAGGATTGAAACAGATCTGACTGTATAACTATATAGCTTACTGCATAGTTGGCAGTATTTTTAGTTTATTTTTGCTTTTGAAGTTGCAGAAGTTTAGGAATCTCCAGGGCTTTTCCTGAAGGTGAGTGAGAAACAATTTCTCATTGTAACCACTGTCACAGGTGTCTATTTACTGATAATTTAACTTAAGTACAGAAGAAGAATAAATGGTATCCCTTCTATAATCCCCAGCTGCCACTGCTGTATATGATTGTTTCCTTCTTAGAGTGCCCCTAGATGACAATGTGATATTCAATTATAAATGACAAAAATCACCTGTAGAAAGGAAAGCAAGGGCTTATATATGCTGCTTTTGTGCTAACATAAGTGTAGGAGACTAGCAAATAAATTTAGACTAAGCATAGCCTTCTTGATATGATACATGGTGTATGGATGTTAATTTGTAAAACAAAATAAAAAATCACTGTGGTATAATGCTTAGGTTACACTTAAATGCTTGGAAACCAAAATTAAAAAATGTGAAGTTCTCAGAATAAGCTGAACTGTAAGCAGAGAACAGTTGTTCTAGGATAATCAGCTCAGGTGTGGGACTGCCTTGAAGAGGCTTTCTTCTGTGCTATTCACTTTATTGTTAGACTGTTTGCCTAGTACAGGGGTGGGTGATTTATTTCAGCTGGAGGGCCACTTCACATGTTTTAGTGAGCTGTTGAGGGCTGCGCACAAATTCTTTCAGAAGATATCGTTTTGACAAATTATAGGTTTAAAAAAGTATATACTAAGAATCAAATGTCTACTAAAACATTAGGAAGGTGCTGAGGGGCTGGGGGCGGGACAAGGGGTGGGAATGAAAGTAAACGGTGTTTACTTTTGTTTCCCGTCACAGCACCGCGGGCCTCAGAAAATGCCTTGGCGGGCTGCATGTTGGACAAGCCTGATCAAGAACAAGCTGCACCTGGTGAAGGAGGTTTAGGACAAGAGGAAGAGTTTCTGTTATCAGTATGTTGGTCAGAAAAGAAGGACCAAGAAAGTTGTGGGTCAAATGTTAATTAACCAGGGGGAACAATTAACGGAAGAAGAAGGTGGAACTGCTTAACAGCTACTTTGCTCCAGTCTTCACGAAAAAATTAAGCTGCAGCTAGTCACCTACTCAGGATTATCTGGAGAAGGAAGTGGGGGAAGTTGAAGGATGAGATAACAAAAGACACAGTGGGAGGTTTTGTTGAGTCTGAATGAATTCGAGTCAGCAGGACTGAATAAACTTCATTCCAGGGTCCTGAAGGAACTGGCAGAGGAGATGTTGGAGCCCTTGGCAATGATCCCCATGGAGTCATGTGAGATTGGTCAGGTACCAGAGCACTGAAAAAGGGCCAGTGGTAGTGTCCTTCTTTAAAAAAGGCAAAAAGGAGCACCTGGGGAACTACAGACCAGTTAGCTTCATCTCAGTATCTTGGAAGTTACTAGAGCATAACCTAAGGATGGCTATTTGCAAACATCTAGAGGAGTAAAGGCTGTTCACAAGCAGCCAGCATGATTTGTTCTTTGTAAATTCATGTAAAAAAAACTTGATCTCTGCCTTTGATAAAGTAACTATTTGGGTGGATGAAGGGAATGCCATGGATATAGTGTATCTAGACTTCAGCAAGGTGCTTGACGAGGTCCCGCATGACCTCTCATAAACAAATTGGAAAAACATGAGCTGGACAAAACTGCTATAAGGTGGATAGATAATTGGCTCAATAGCTGCAAGCAAAAGATAATTATTAACAGATTTGTGTCAGAATGGCAGGAGGTTTTGAGTGGAGTCCCATAGGGGTATGTCCTGGGCCAGTACTGTTCAATGAGTTTATTAGTGATTTGGGTGCTGGCACAGAAAGCTTCTTGAGCAAGTCTGTGGATGATGCAAAACTGGGAAAGATTGTGAATACATTGGAGGATGGGAGTGCAGTTCAAAAAGATCTTGACAGATTGGAAAGTTGGGCTAAAGCTAACAGGATGAAGTACATCATGGACAAATGCAAGCTGCTATACCTTGGGAAGAATAAAACACAAATACAAAATGGTGATACCTGACCGGATGGCAGCATTGTGCAGAAGAATCTGGGAGTCTTGGTGTATCACAGAGTCAGTGAGTTTGCAGTGTGATGCACAAAAGGCAAATGTGGTTTTAGGATGCATCAATAGAAGCAGTAAGTGTAAGATGCTGGAGTTGATAGTCCCTCTCTATTCAGCACTGTTTAGGCTTCACATACAGAATGTGTACTGTCTTGGGCTCCACATTTTAAAAAGGGCATGGAGAAGTTAGAGAGGGTCCAGAGGGAGGCAAGTCATATGAGGAGAGGCTGAAGGAGCTAAGCATGTTCAGCTTGTGGAAAAGGTGCTTAAGAGGGGACATGATCGCTGTCTTCAAATACTTGAAGGCCTGCTATAAAGAGGAGGGAAAGCACCTTTTCTCTCTTGCTGTAGAGAATAGGACATGGACCAATGGTCTGAAGTTGTAGTGAAGTAACTGCTGCTAGAATAGCGAGGCAGTGGAATATACTGCCTTGGGAAGCTGTGAACTTGCCATCACTGGAGGTGTTCAAGAATAAACTGGACAGCCACTGGGATGATCTTGGCATAGCTATACCTATGTTCTGCTCTGGGTATTTCCCATGCTTCTGGGCATTGTCTGTTGCCCCCAGCCTTTCTTTCTGCTACATGTCAGGATGTTTTTCAGCCTCCCTCAGAGGCATTTGGTGTTGACTGCAGCCAAGGATGGAGATTTTGACTGGATTTCATAGACATTAGGGCTGGAAGGGACCTCGAGTCCAGCCCCCCGCCCAAAGGGCAGGAAGTCAGTTGGGGTCATAGGATCCCAGCAACATAAGCATCCAATTTGCTCTTGAAGGTGTTCAAAGTAGGTGCTTGAACCACCTCCGATGGCAGGCTGTTCCAGACCTTGGGGGCTCGGACAGTAAAGAAATTCTTCCTTATGTCCAGCCTGAAACGGTCTCGCAGTAGTTTATGACCGTTCGACCTCGTCAGCCCTTGGGGTGCTGTTTTGAACAATCATTCCCCCAGATCCTGGTGGTCACCCCTGATAAACTTATAGGTGGCCATCAGATCGCCCCTGAGCCTGCACTTTTCCAGGCTGAAGAGCCCCATGGCTCTCAGCCTGTCATCGTAAGGTCTGTACCAATGCTTCTTCTGGGACCCAAGCCAGAGGTTCCTGGCTAGAAGGTCCTGCCCCTCAGTTCAGAGTCAGACCAATCGCCATATTTGGGGTCAGGAAGGCATTTTATCACATGGTCAGTTTGGTGTGGATTCTGAGGGGCTTTTTGCCTAGCTTTGGAATGGGGGGGGGGCATGGCCCTCTACCTGGGATCTCCCAATCAATATATTAACCATGAACGATGTGTGCCTCGGGGCCTGGGGGGGCATGACAACTGCCCACAGGTGGAAGTGGTGTCAGTGGCAGCAGCAAGCGGGGAGCTCCTGCAGTTAGCTACAGTGGTGCTGGCGGCGAGGGCAGGCTGAGCAGTGAGCTCCTGCAGGTGGCCATGGTGGTTGGGGGGGGGGTTGGCGGTTGGCAAGCACCAACCAGCAGTTGGCGATCACCCGCAGATGTCGCCGGTGATGTCAGCGGTGGGGGAGGGTGGCAAGCGGCGACCGCCTGCAGGCGTTGGCGGCACTTTTCATAGGGGGTGCACTGCCAATCTTGGGGGTGCATGTGCACCCCTATGCGTTGCCAATGATATTAACAGCCTTTTATAGAAGCACAGTACTGGCTACCATGGTTTCCTGCTTTTACCTAAGGTAGTTAGGGTGTTATGTCTTGTGTTGTCTCAGGCTGTACAGTTGTCTTATGAAGAGTTTAGGTTATGGATTGTACAGGATGATTTGGGTAGTAATGATCCTGCCTCAGGCACAGGGCTGGACTAGATGACCTCCGGAGGTCCCTTCCAGCCCTGCTTGTATGATTTCTCTATGAACTGTAAATGGAACACATTAGAGAATTTCATTTTTGCAGTGTATATTGAACAGTAGATCTATTAAAATACACCTCCAAAAGGAAAAGGCTGGAATATACAAGCTATGTTCATCATGCCCAAATTAATTTAACTCTGAAAAGTTTTAATATTGTAATATCCTGATTTTTAAGGGTTTACATTTTGAACTGAAATGCCAAATAATATTCTAATGTAACAGTAATATATCATGATGTCATACCAGCTACAGGTCTCAGCCAGGTCAGAGGTATTCAGCAAAGTAATCTAAGGCTTTTGTATTCTAGTTCTTTGTCTCCAAAAATAAAAAATAAACTCCAAGGCTAACAGTTTCCTTTGCTAACAAGGTCTGCCTGAAGGTTGGGACTTGTTTACATACTAAAGTAAGCCATGTTATGAATTTATGGTGCAGTAATTACTATGTATTAATTTCCCATGTGTACACTGTTAATATATACTACCAGGGCATATGTAGAGCAGCTTAGTGAGCACCTCCTAATCTACCCTGTAGAATTCCACTTTGTGTGAACTAAGACAGCCCACAGGGGGAGATAGTGTACAGAGGGTGGTGTATTGTAAATTCACACCTTAGTTTGCCATATTAACTACTCTGTATAGATGGAGAGGTGTTTACAGGGTAGCTGAATTCACTGCTACTGCTGTCATGGTATCTGAATACCTCGCATCTGATTTAAAAGATTACATTCAAGATACCAATCCAGTGAGATTTTTTTTTTTTTGGTGCAGAGCACTCTGAAAGCAATCCTTTCACAAGCACAAAAATAAATACCTTTGGCAACTTAATTTTGAGTCAGTTGCTTTGAGGCAATTGCTTTTCAGGTCATCTTTCAC